TCTAGGGTTTAGGGTTTAGGGTTCTAGGGTTTAGGGTTTAGGGTTCTAGGGTTTAGGGTTCTAGGGTCTAGGGTTTAGGGTTCTAGGGTTTAGGGTTTAGGGTTCTAGGGTTTAGGGTTCTAGGGTCTAGGGCTTTGAGTTTAGGGTTTAGGGTTCTAGGCTTTAGGGTTTAGGGTTTTGGGTCAGGGTTTTGGGTCTAGTGCTTAGAGTTTGGGGTTTAGGGTTCTAGGGTTTAGGGTTTAGGGTTTTGGGTCTAGGGCTTAGAGTTTGGGGTTTAGGGTTTTGGGTCTAGGGCTTTGAGTTTGGGGTTTAGGGTTCTAGGGTTTAAGGTTTAGGGTTTTGGGTCTTGGGCTTAGAGTTTGGGGTTTAGGGTTTAGGGTCTAGAACTTTGGGTTGAGGATCTCTTTTGTGCCGTCTCATGACATTCTGGGCCTGCTTTGCAAGGTTGTTCAGTCTTGGGCTTGGAGTTCCACGTCAAGCATCGGCATCTGTGTAATTGTGCTTCCCCCGCGGCCATCACGAATCACCATCGCTTTCGAACTCGCCATTCACTCAATTCACTCATTTTGTAGTTTGCTTCATTTTAACCATCATCGGCGCCTGCCTGCCCCGCGTCGTCCCCACAATCATCATCATCATCATCATCATCATCATCAACATTATCAGCATCAGCATCATCAGCATCAGCATCAGCATCAGCACATCTTCATCTTCCACCATCATCATCATCATCATCATCATCATCACCATCTTCACCATCTTCACCATCATCACCATATCATCATCCTCATCGACAGTGGCAGTGTCCTTGCTCTAGACCGAGCAGGTGGCATTGCGCTCTCTGACGCCGCAGTGGTCTACCGCGGCCTTGGGAGAGTCCGCAGGCCGATACACCAAATCCAAAGACCCTAAAGCTTTGAAGCCTCAGCCCACCAAAAATAACTAAAACCATAAAGGTACATGAACCCTAAACCTGCCTTCTCGTAATCCCCAAACCCGACCCTCAGCCCTAAATCCCGAAGCCTACATCCCTAAACCCTACATCCTTAAACTCTAAACCCCTGAACCCTAAATCCCTAAACCCTAAAGCTCGAAACCAGACCCTAAACCCGAAGACCTTCCTAAATCCCTAAACCCTAAGCCCCGAAACCCCAAAACCCGAAACCCAAAACCCCGAAACCCTAAACCTAAATCCCTAGACCCGAAGACCTGCCTCAATCCTTAAATCCCTACATCCCAAAACCCTACACGTTTGCACCCCGAAACCCTAAATCCCTATACCCTGAACCCTAAACCCTAAGCCCGAAACCCTAAATCCCTAGAGCCTAAGCCCCGAAACCCGAAGACCTTTCTAAAGCCCTACTTGCTTTGAGGCTGCCTCGGGCGCCTCAGTGGTATCCTTCCCGTCTCGGTCCGCGAGTGCCCTGGCCTGGGGAGAGCGGTAAAAATCCGGTTTTTTGGTATCAGAAGGACCTAAGAAAGCCTTCAAAGAGACACTTAAAGGAACCCTGAAAGAATAAGCTTGCAGATTTTTGGGGATCATGGCATCACTTTGGGATCTTAATGAGTTCGAACAGGCTTCCTTCAGGGGCTTATGTCTCCATAAGGGCTGCATTAGGAGCTTGTAGGTTTTTGTTATCGGTTCAGTAGAAGTTTAGAGTTTCTGGGTAAGGCCTTATAGGGGATGCAACGGGTTTACAGGGTCTTCTGGGGGCTCTACCAGGGCTTAGGACTATTTCGCTGCATGGTGTGGGAGGGGAGAGATTGTTTCGGGTTTCGGGTTTTTTGGGTTCAGGAATCGGACGAACCCTAAACCCTAAACCCTAAACCCTAGACCCCAGGAGCTTTTCGCATTTTTGCTTTGGGGCCATGTCTCGGATTCGCGCCGGGCATCACACTCAGGATCCCCTTCCCCACGATAGCCTACCTCGACGATCCATTTGCTGCTTGGCCTTAAAGGGTAGGGTTTAGGGTTTAGGGTTTAGGGTTTAGGGTTTAGGGTTTAGGTAGGGTCGTACGGATTCAAACTTCGCCCAGAGATTCCTGGGTTCCGCGGAATGCATGTGGGTAGTTCTCTAAATTTGGGGTCCCCCAAGGACCCTAAACGGGAGCTTAGAGAACTTATGTACAGAATTTGATGCTTGAGGACTTGTTGACATCAACAGTTCCAAGTGCCAAGGCCACCTTTGTTTCCGCCGTCTTCGGACTCTTCTTTGTGCGCTCTGGCTGAAGCTATGCAGCGTAGCGCTGCTTACGATGGTTTAGGGTATGGGTTTAAGGCTTGCTACGACTGGAAGCACGAATGGGTGCTCGTGCTCGTGTCCGGTCTCTAGGAAGGTCTCTATTGAGTTCTGGTCTAGAATTTAATTCAAGTTACCAGAAAGAGGACACCGTGTTTTTTCTTTCAGATCCTGAGTACGGTAGCTTCGATTCGATGTTGAGGAACCCAGTTGGTTTCGGAAGATATCCGGCAGCTTGGTCGCCGAACAGCGGGGTGCATGTGCCTCACTGCTCGCATGGCATGAAGGATCCTAGTTTCTAGATTTTCGATTTTGCCCTAAACCCTAAACCCTAAACCCTAAACCCTAGACCCTAAACCCTTTAAATCAGGGTTTCCCG